TTTTTTTTGTCAGATTGTTGTCCTCGTTTTTTTTCTTCTTTTCTTTTTTTTTCTTTTTTCCTGTTGTGTACTACCGGTTGTCCGCCGCTCGGCAATAAAGTCGAGGCTCGGGAATGACCGGCCTACCGGTAGCCTGAGCCACGGGCCTTGACAACCGGTAGGTACTGGTGGTTTAAGGGGACAGTCATAGCAATAACCAAGCAAGGGGGCTACTGAAATAGGGCTGGGCTGATAGATAAGGGGTGCTCCAAAAAAAGGGAAGGGGGACACTAGCAGCTCCAAGGGATAACGGAGCCCGGGGATGAGCCGGGATAAGCCATTAAGCCACCAGTACCTCGCCGAGCTATTGATGCCGAGCCTAAACATGCCCTGCGCGCCACAATTTCCCGACGGTGGAGGCAGCAGGTACCAGCACATGGAAAAAATAGGGTGGTACCAGTACCGCCCTTTGTAATACCGCAGAAAAGAAACGAGGACACTGTTTCTACTCACGAAACAGAAGTACTGGGAAAAAAAAAAAAAAAGACTGTTGGAGTAAATCCACTGTCAGTTGGAGTAAATCCACTGTCTTAATATTAGAAGGGACTACCCTCGCAACGGACTTGGGTATGAAGGTTATCCAAAGTTCCGAATCAGAACGTTATCTGGGAATCCTGGTCTCATTCGGAGACTGCAGTAAAGAACAAACAACAATTCTTGAGACACGTATACGGGACGCCTGTGCTAAATACTCCAAGTGCACCAACTTGTCACTGTTCGGCAGAGCACTGGTGGCCAATACAGCCATTCTCTCTACAGGATGGTACATACTGGCCATCAGACCACTCTCTGCCTCCTTGGCCGCACTAATCAGGCAACTTCTCACCCGTTTCATTTGGAAGGGGGACTCAGATAGTCCCTCCTGCATTAACAAGGTTGCATGGTGGAAGCTCACGGAGAAAAAGGGTCAAGGAGGTCTTGGCATCCTTGACCCAGAAAGACAGAATCACGCCCTGCTCGCTAGGTGGCCAGTGGAATTACTCACCACCACAGAGCCCCTCCCATGGATTTTAATCGCCCAAGCACTCCTGGCAGAAGACTGGGGTCTAAGGAACCCAGATGCTGTATGGCAAACTTTACTGATGCACCCAATGCTAACCTCTGTCAAGTCTCCTACATGGTCCCCCATATTAAAAGCCTGGAGTCACTTGCTGCTGTACATTACCTCCTCCCCCTCAGACCGCCTACAAGTTCTATCTACCTGCCTGTTCGAAAACCCGGAAGTCACTGACGCAACTGGACATGCCTTCTCAGTAGCCAAGAAGCCAGGGAACTTCGGGCGGCGATGGCCGCAGAGAGGGGTTTGGCAGATCCAACATCTTCTCGATGAACACACAGGAGGATGGCACTCAGCGGACACCCTGAGGACCAAACTGGGTAACCTTCGGAGAATAGAAGAGCACAGACGCCTGCTGATTGAGGCTATCCCAGAAAGCTGGGCGGAAATTCTGAGGGAACCTACTCAATGGATGAGAGCCGGCTCATGGTGGAGGCAACGAAGCGGCACAACGTCTTTCTGCCGTGATGAGCCCGTGGTTAACGGATCCGCCGGTCAAATAACAAGATGGAGACTGAAGGATGGATTGCTGTATCGGCAAGGTGAGCCTGAGGAGCCTCGCGACATGAGTGACTGGTCCGAGATCAGAGTGTGTGAATCAGTGCAGGGCAACAAGCAGAGCTTTTCCCCGATCTTGGGGGGAACTCCTTACGTGGATTGGAAAGTGGATGTAGCCAGGATAGGTTGGTCCATACAGGACCACTCTGCTGCTGGCACTCATAAACTGATAACAGATTACTCCTCCAAGCTGGGCTATTCTCTAAGATCCAAGGCTTCTTCTATCCAGGCTGTGATTTGGAACAGCTGGTGGAAGAAGACACAGTCCACGGTTACTCAACCCCCCTGCTTTACCTGGGTCCCATTCTTCATCACACTGCTGTTGAATATAACAGAAGTTAAAATGGCGGGCCTGCAGTGGCTGCACCTTCACACATCTGTCCCAACGGCTGCATGGTGTGCTGAAAGAGGTATGACAATTAGTACTGCCTGTGATGCCTGTCCCAGCGAAGCACTGGAGGACTACAACCACCTCTGGTGGGAGTGTGTGGTTGCTAGGGGTTTCTGGGATTGGCTATCCCGTATGTGTTTTTTTGCTTATGGGCCGGAGCCACTCTGGACCAGAGAATTTATCCTTTATGGCAGTGCCGACAGGGCCCATAATGTGGTTATAGCAAACAAGTTTCGTACAATTGGTTTCTGGATTTTGTGGTTAGCAAGGCGAGAGAGACGGTTCAAAGGTAAACTGTGGCCAGAATATGCGATTCGGAACAAATTTAAGTT